TTACTGTATGCCGTTTCTAATTCCAAGATTCCATAAATGACCCGTTACAGCTTCCCCTTAAATTGTTACAGCTTCCACGCGTGCTGCGTCTCCGAAAAATTTTTTCGATGGAAATGAATTATACATAAAAAAAGTAGAGATTTCAGGCTTCAAAATGAGCCTAGCTCCACTGCTCTACTATTTTTTTGCACAAAGTTATAGCTGTTCGAATATCAACAAGTTTTTCGAAAAGTCGAGATTTTCTGCAAAATCTAGAACGCGGTTTCCCGCCCGTCATATCATAAATAAATTTTTTTAGACAAAACTGGGCAATACGGTCCGAAAGTAGACACTTCCGGCTTTAAGATGAGCTAAGTTCCATTGCTCTACGATTTTTGTGCACGAAGTTATAGCTGCTCGAATATCAAGAAACTTTTCGAAAATTTGAAACCTCGACAAAAGTAGCAGAACATCGAACCAGAAGATCGACGAAAATCGGCGATTCAGGGTGAAACGAGCGACACCGTATTGCGTTAGTAGAAATGGGTTAAGCGTTGTCGAAGATGGCGCGGAATCGGAGTAATGGTCTCCGAAAGAGTTGCACGGCGCGGCGGCGCGAGGAGGACGATCGAGGCGAAAGAGAACCGGGATTACGTAAGTCGGTGGATCTCGCGTTTCTCGTCGACCTTTAGGGCCGAATCGCGGATCACGAAGCGACGAGGAATCACGGGGACTCACGAAAGAGGAGTCATGGAGCGGCGGAGTCACGTTAGCGATGCAACAACGGCACGACGACGTTCTCTAACTTTCCTCGTCGCTGCTCGACGAGAGGCGTGTGCGCTTTCCGGAATACCAATGCTGCATAGGAAGACCGAGCGTCGCGCCTCCGTGCACCATTGTTCGCGTATTTTCTGTACCTACGAGTCGCCGTCTCGTCCCTCCGGATCGCTGATCCATAAAAACGGACAGTTCGATAGGAAAAGAACGCAATTATTCGAGCCTCTTCGCGGCCTATACTACAAAAGCTAACTATAAAAACGAGCCGTGAGGCTCGGATAATCGTGTCTCCTCTTCTGTTGGAAGGACAACAGATTGTCCGTTTGTTGTTTAAAAGCCGAGGGACAATTGGGGAGAATTTACTGCACACCGCTCATTAAAATTATAAAACAGTTATAGAACAATTTTGGTCAAAAAGTGGGCAAACTTGACTCGACGAAAACTTCGCGAAGAATCATCGTGGGACGATGATTGTTTTCTCAAATTAAAGCTTGAAACCTCTACTTTAAGCTGATGTATCTAAATTTTAAGTTTGATGGGTCCTCGACACAGTAACCCTTTAAATGCGAGGTCACGTTCGTCACACAGAAAATCGCCATATTTGCGAAAATTGCCAACTTTAACCGAATGCACGGCGCCGGCAAAATTTTTTACAGAAACGCCGTTCGCGGCGGAAAAAAGTTCGTTTCTTCCCCTTCGATCGAAAAAAAAATAAACTCAGCTGCGATTTTTCCTCGCGAAGTTACGGCACTTTGAAGCGACCCTTGCCAATAATCGTACCGCCTCCTCCCGAAATCGTCCGTTTTCGTTTCCGCGCGGACCGGACAATCCGGGAGAATTTACCGTAAGATTGGCATGGCGCAACGATCGCATTGTGTCCGAGCGCGGGTTGCGATGTTCAGGAATGCGCGGGACTGCCGCGGATGCATTCTAACGGCGATTGCATCGGGAATTGTCGAAAGATGCGACGGGAGCTGAAAAGATGAGAGAAAGTGAATCCGAGAGCGTCTCTCTGGGTGTTGCGTCAACGTAATTGCAGATGCGGTCGAGAGAGCTCCTCGCGAACAAGTGTTGCATCAGCGATACACAGAAAGAAAGAAAGAGAGATAGAGACTGAGAGAGAGAGAGAGAGAGACGCCGCGGATCGGAAATGACGAGATCCACGACGATTCTCCGTGGAACCGTTCCCGAAACAGCCGACAAAACACGCGACGTATCGGCGCGAACGTTCCTGTTTCTTTATTTTTTCCTTTGCCCCCCCCCCCCCTGCGCAGAAATATTTTTCCCGGATTACGAAATCGCGGATCCCCCGTCCGACGAGCGGCGCGCAATTACCATAAGCATTTATGTTTCCCTTCGCGTTGCTCGATAGGATCTTTCGCAATCGACCTCGGCCCGGCATCGAACACACACGCCGGGAGGAAGAAGTGCCCGCATATAAATTATTTATAAACCAGGACTGTGTTACGGCATCGGAGTTTTGTCGGCCGTCATTTCTGTCCCGGAGTTTCTTCTTCCGAATCGAGCACGGTTTTTCCCGCGGCCGACGAACGATCGCGCCGCGCCGTTCGGTGTCGCGAGTGACCCACGCGGCGTGCTCGGTGAGCCGCGCAACAGGGTCCGGGAGCGTAAGAATGTCAAACGGGCAGCAACGGGCATGTTGCCCCGTAGAGACGTAGTACACATGCCGGATGGGTCCGTCTCGTGTTCCAGGTATTATAATAACGATGCTCACGTGTCGGGACTGGCGATTCGGGCTTCGCCCACCGGGTTCTGCCCCTTCCACGCACACCTGCTCCATGGGAACGTTGACTTCGAGGCGTGGCGCCGGAACTCGAGGAACGTCCTAGCACGGCCACCTCCTCGGAAATCGCGTCTGCCGACCGCGTTCCAGCCGCGACCGCCCTTGCTGCCGTCCTCCGCGCGAACAGAACCCGCTGTCCCCGTGCCACGACCGCTGTCTCGCTGGCAAGATATCGATAGCAATCCAAGTAGACACGTGGCGAACTCTTCGCGACGCTGACGCCATCTTATAGGACCTAGGATCTCGATGATCAATCTACGAGAGCGTTCGCGGGGTCCTTTATTTCGAAAAATGAGTGCTGCAGAAGATTGCGTGAATCTTAGCGAACGAGACGCTAATGTGGCCTCAACGGCACCAGACCGTCGTGTGGAACTTGTATTCTTCGAGGTATAAGTGTCACGGAAGGGCAATTAGGGAAAATTTATCTTTTCTAATTCCAAGATTCCATAAATGACCTGTTACAGCTTCCCCTTAAATTGTTACAGCTTCCACGCGTGCTGCGTCTCCGAAAAATTTTTTCGACGGAAATGAATTATATGTGAAGAAAGTAGAGATTTCAGGCTTTAAAATGAGGTTAGTCTCGTTGCTCTACGATTTTTATTCACAAAGTTACATTATTTTGGATATCGTCGATGTTTCGGGGGTTAGAAATTTTGTGTAAAGTCTGGAACGAGGTTTCTCATTGGTCATATCGTAAATCAATTTTTTTAAAAGAAATTGGTACATGGCTTCTGAAAGTAGATACTTTGAGCTTTAAAATAAGCCTAGTTGCATTGCTATACGATTTTTTTACACTAAGTTATAGCTCTTTAAATATCAACAATTTTTTCACAAATTTGAAACCTGGAAAAAAGTAATAGACAACTGGTTTTTATAGTTACCAAGTTTCAACTATAAAAAGGAGCCGCGAGGCTCGAATAATTGTATGTCCTATTCCCAAATTGTCCTATGCAGTTTCTAATTTCAAGTCATCGGCACCAGACCGTCTCGTAGGACCCGCGGTGTGGGTGAAGCCAATGTGGTGCCACCGGACGGCAGGGCGCTAAGTTAGCCTCGATTAATTGATCAGGTCGCAGTTTATCGTGAGTTAGAATTTCGTATAGAATCCTCTCGTTGGCTGTTACAAAATTAGGGTACGAACGCCACCTGCAGGACCCTTTTCCCAGCGAAGGCCAATGACCGGAGGGCTGACGCGGCTCAAGGTCCCGCACCCCTCAATTCCCGCCCGTGTCTGTCCGTGTATACTAAAACCTCTCGAATTGTCCTTTTTTTGTTTAGAAGCTGAGGAACAATTGGAGAAAATTTACTGCACACCGCTCATTAAAATTATAGAACAGTTATAGAACAATTTTGGTCAAAAAGTGGGCAAACTTGACTCGACGAAAACTTCGCGAAGAATCATCGTGGGACGATGATTGTTTTTTCAAATTAAAGCTTGAAACCTCTACTTTAAGTTGATGTATCTGAATTTTAAGTTCGACGGGTCCTCGATACAATAACCCTTTAAATGCGAGGCCATGTTTGCCATAATAAAAATCGCCATATTTGCGAACATTGCCAACTTCAGCCGAATGCACGGACCAGGCAAAATTTTTTCCGGAAACGCCGTTTACGGCCGAAAAAAGTTCGTTCCATCCCCTTCGATTGAAAAAAAAATAAACCCTGCTGCGATTTTTCCGCGCGAAGTTACAGCGCTTCGAAGTAACCCTTGCCGCGGCTCGAACAATCGTATCGCCTCTTCCCAAATTGTCCAGCAGCCGAGGGACAATCGTAGAGAATTTACCATATCTCTACGAAACGCTACAAACTTCCTGTGCATTCCGGAGAACTCGCGTTGTTCGCCAACAGTTTCCAACAACAACAACACAGGAATCAACGCACCTATCTGTCGAACATCGTCGTTCGATGTGATCGCGGACCAAAAATTTCATTTAATTACCCCCTCCCCCCACTTGCTCTCTAATGACCCAAGAGAGTCGACGAGGCCTCAAACGTTAAAACAAAAAAAGGAGAAAACAACGCGCCTGTAGGCCGAACGAGAGTAGTATCGAGCACCGAACCCGCCGACAAAGCAAGGACCCCCGACAATGGAGCCGGCGACTATTGATCGGTCGGCGTGGTCGCGCCAGCGCAGCGCGGCGCAGCCTCTGACCATACAAAACAGTAGCGATCTACCTTCATCCACGTTCCGTTGTGCTCCCTGTCAAACGGAGCTCGCTCGGTCCTGGGCCCGGTGCTGAATCCGCCACTGCCAAAGTGTTGTCGCGCGTGGCCAACATGTCCGGTGGTACGTGTCCGGCGCTCGTTTCCTTTGTCCGTTTTCGTTATCGCGTTATCAACGGCTAGGCGACGAGAGTAGGGAGGAGCTCGAACGAGGCGACGGTGGAATAAGTGTCGCACGAAAGTGTCTCTCTAACGATGTCGATTTCTTCTTCCGCAGACAGGGACTACATTGGGTTCGCGACGCTGCCGGAGCAGGTGCACAGGAAGTCCGTGAAGAGAGGATTCGAGTTCACGCTGATGGTGCTGGGCGAGAGCGGCCTCGGCAAGTCCACGCTGATAAACAGCCTGTTCCTGGGGGATTTGTACAAGGACAGGCGTATTCCCGATGCCGGAGGTCGGTGGACAGTGTCTCGAACGATCGAGCATAGTGCTAATGACATCGTCGTTGACGAACGTTCGTCGTCCTATTTTTTAATCGTTTGGCTTTTCGTTCGTAGAACGCATCGAGAAGACCACCACGATCGAGAAGAAGACGATGGACATCGAGGAGAGAGGTGTCAGACTGCGTCTGACCATTGTTGACACTCCAGGTGTGGCATTCTGTCGGATCGTCGACGTTCGTTGCGCTGCGCGTTTCTGTTACGCCGGGTGATTCACCGAGCCGATATCTTCGTTATCGTTGACCGTACAGAAAAATGATAGAGGGACGATTCGCATGATTCCGAGGGACGCGTGTTACCATGGAAATGATTACTCCTCGAAGCTTATGGTTCTCGAGATTCCAAGGTCGTCGATGATTCTTTGAACGGGACCATATATTTCTGTCGACGTGGATCGCTAGCCGAGGTCAAGACGAATCTAATGACCTATGGCAACGTGGCCGTCGCGTGACCTTGAGTGAATCGCCCTCTGTATACGTCCGTGGGAGCCGAGAGTTCTGCGCTTCGATGGCTGCTCTTATTCTCTCTCTCTCTCTCTGTCTTTCTCTCTCTTTCTTTGCGTGTTTGTGTGTGTTTTCGTCGACGGATCTGACCGTTCCGAAACGATTCCAGGGTTCGGCGACGCGGTGAACTGCGAGGACACGTGGAAAGCGTGCTCGACGTACATCGACGAGCAGTTCTGTCAGTACTTCACCGACGAGAGCGGCCTGAACCGGAAGAACATCCAGGACAACAGGGTGCACTGCTGCTTGTACTTCATTCCCCCTTATGGTCACGGGTACATTACAATTTCACGGCTCGATCCTCCTGGCGGATAGTCGGGACAGCCCCCGGTTATTTTACGATTCTTCCTTAGACTGAGGCAACTGGATCTGGAGGTGTTGAGGAGGCTACACCGCAAGGTGAACGTGGTCCCGGTGATCGCCAAAGCTGACACGTTGACCACGTACGAGGTGAAGAAGCTGAAGGAACGGATCCTGGCTGACATCGAGGAGAACGAGATTCAGGTAGCGTTTAGGGTTCAACGCTGATTCGATCGTCCTCGGTTAACCGATCGGTTGACTGCGGATCCTTGTGGCATTTGCACGGTCTTAAATCGTTGACAGCAGCGCACCGTCTTGTTTTTGCCACGAGACGTCTTCCAGTTGGCAGATCGTTCCGTGATCTTGGTCTCTTTCAATGATCTTTTTCAATGGTCGCTTTGAAATTGCGATGCGTTCAACGCTGAACCCGCCGTGCATTAAAAGCGACAGCGTTGCTCTATAAGAACGACGAGACTCGAATTTATTTAGCAGAGTTTTTTATTGCAAAGAATATAGTAATCTCTGCCGGAAATGTACGGAGGTCGGAATCGAAACCGGCAAATCCGAGAATACCGAGTCGCGATTCTTCGGGTCTCGCGGCTCGCTTTTTATAGAAACTCGGGGTAGTCGGCGAGAAATAATTGTACAATGATCTATACCGTCCAGATCGATTTGAAAAAGCCTCTACTGTAATCTCGCTAAGTCATTTCGCGATGAAAAATATTTGTTCATCAGCGAAAGTGAATTTTCCACCTTCGGTTTCTCCTCCTCGGAAACTCTGCGTTCGAACGTCTCTCCAGCGTCTGAAAAATTTTTCCCACGATTCCGGTTACCACGAGCTTCAAGATTAGAGTCTTCTCTTTCGAACGACGTCGAAGTTTTCGATCCACGATTTTTTTTTCTTCTTTATCGCGATCCGAAGCGGCCATGGTCGACGCTGCGGAAAATGAATTTTGACAGATTCTCGATTTTAATTCCGATCTTTGTTCGCTAACTTTTTTGCTTCTCGTTTTTTGCCACGATTCAAAAGCAATTCAGAAGATACACAACACGATTCTAAGGCAATTCGGAGGCCATATGCCACTATTTTTTAAGGCAATTCGGAGACCTCGTGCTACTATTTTTAAGGCAATTCGGAGGCCACATGCCACGATTCGAAGGCAAACAGATCATTTCGTATTCTCATTTCAATTATATTAATATTGTCATTCGCATGCCGTCGACCCTTAGCATCGACGTAGCAATAAATTACATAGGCGTAGCACTAGCACAGGGAAATTCGCAGCAACCCGAGATATTTGGCATTTCCGAGAGAAATTACTATATTCGGCTTAGAAAATTTATTAGAACGTTACCTACGAAAGACGTTATCTTCGAAATCTCAGCAATTTTTAAATACAAAACGTTAAACCGGCCATTTTCCACTGATTTAATGAATTCAGTCGATCTACGATCCGCGGTCTTCCTGATCAGTGACCCGATTCTATCCAATCGCGCCTCCTTTCTTCCTGAAATGAGATCACAGTAAATTCCCCCCAATTCTCCCTCGGCTTGCGAAGAAAAATGGGCAATTTGGGAAGATTTGCGCCACGTTTTTATAATCGTCGACAATCGGAGATTATAAAAACGAGCCGAGAGGCTCGAGTAATCGCATCTCCTGTTCCGGAATCGTCCATTTCTGTTTGCAAGCCGATGGACAATTCGGGAGAATTTTTACCGTAACAACGAGATCGAGAAAGTCGGGGGAGATAGAAGCAAGAGCTGGAACGCGAAAGGACAATGCTTTGCGCGTAGATATATCAGTTTCCGGACTGTGATAGCGACGAGGACGAGGAGTTCAAGCAACAGGATAAGGAGCTGAAGGCGTGCATACCTTTCGCCGTTGTCGGAAGCTCCACGGTGCTGGAGGTTGCCGGGAAGAAAGTCAGGGGCCGGCAATATCCATGGGGAGTAGTCGAAGGTAGGCTACCTGTTTTTGTTTCGACGAATTTTTACCGTCAGATGATCGTGAAATACAATAATTTCTCCCTAATTCGCGCTCGGATTGCGCACAAAGATGACAATTACGGAACAGGTTGATACGATTGCCTCGACAAGGGTAACTTCAAAGCGCTGTAACTTCGTGCAGAAAAATCGCAGCAGGGTTTATTTTTTTTTCAATCGAAGGGGAAGGATCGAACTTTTTTCTACCGTAAACGGCGTTTCCGGGAAAAAGTTTTCCACGTCCGTGCATTCGGTTGAAGTTGGCAATGTTCGATGGGATAAATATGACGATTTTTATCATGACATGGCCTCGCATTTGAAGGGTTACAGCGTCGAGGGCCCGTCGAACTTAAAATAGAGATACATAGTCTTAAAGTAGAGGTTTCAAGCTTTAATTTTAAAAAATGGTCATCGTCCTACGATGATTCTTCGCGAAGTTATCGTCGAGCCAAATTCGCCCACTTTATGCGCTATAATTTCGAACGAGCAGTATACAGTAAATTCTCCCCAATTTTCCCTCGGCTTTTAAACAACAAACGGACAATTTTCGAAGAGGCGATACGATTATCCGAGTCTCGCTTTTACAGTAAGTAAATCCTCTTTCCAAATCGTTCATTTTTGTGCTCGATCTGAACGCGAATTGGGAAAAATTTAACTGCAACTGTACAACGGAAAATTCGACGTTTCTTCTAATAAAAAGAAAAGAGAAAAAATATCGATTAACATTCTGGTTTGACTCGAACGCAGTGGAGAACCCGAAGCACAGCGATTTCGTGAAACTGCGAACAATGCTGATATCCACGCACATGCAAGACCTGAAAGACGTAACACAGGACGTGCATTACGAGAACTTCCGGGCGCAATGCATTTCCCAAATTTCGCAGCAAGCGACACGGGAACGGAGGTATCTACGCATGTAAATAAGTATTGCATTTCAGTAGGTATACCCATTCTATTAGATGTATACGTGCGTGTCCTGTACTGTCTCCCTGTCGTTGATCGGAGTTACCGTTGCACTCGGAGCACACAGAGTTAACGAAAACGTGTGTGCCATACTCCGTGCATACTCCGTGCATTCTCTATTGTATGGTAAAGTATGGTCAGCGTAGTGCATCGATTATTATTGGTATTCGACGATCACTAGGCTGCGGATTTTACGCGTTTGCCGGAATAATTGTGCGGGCGAAACGTGGAACGTCGAACAAATTTTAGGAAATTCAATTAAAATCGACTTATTAATCACGACTTATTACAATTATCTAGAAGGATAGCCTAGCAGGAAGATCGCATATAGCTTCTATGTCTCTCGCAATTGACGAAGACTGTCTTTTTGTTGTACTTTTTTTTTTTATTTTTGCGCATAATAATCCGCGGTCTAATGATCACGGACCAACGTGTACGAGCGTCGACTCGAGTGATCAGCTTGGCTTCGTTCTGTTCGCAGCAAATTGAAGAGAGACTCGGGCCCTCATTTCGAAAACACTATATCCGACACGGACTGGTTGCTGTTGCAAAAGGACCAAGAGGTCGGCAAATGCGATCGAACGATACCGAATCATTGATACTTCGCTTACCGAGCTCTGGCACCGGCCGACGTGTTTCGCTCGACGAGAACGACGAGACTGGAAATCTAGTTAAACTTTCTGTCGTTTCTAATCTTTCTGTTATTTCGAATAACTTATGCTGCAGTTGAGACGTTCATTGAATCGTTTCCTGCGAAACGGTCTTCGGAATCTCGAGACTTTTAAGAGAGAAAATAGCGAACGCTGTCGTATTTTATGCTTTAAAATCGTTGACATTTCTGGAGACCTTTCTCACTGGTATCCGTTGAATCGATTTCTCGATTAGAGCAGAGTAAATCCAGTGTCGTCGTAGAAAGAAACGCGCGTCGGTCGTTTTTAGTGCTCGGTAAAACTGTCAGTAATTTCTCCCTAATTCGCGCTCCGATTGCGCACAAAAATGGACAATTTGGGAACAGGAGATACGATTATTCGAGCCTAGCTTGTTTTTATAGTCGTGGACGATCGGTAAAAAAATCGGTAAAAAACGAGCCGTCTACTACTTTCGTCGATGTTTCAAATTTTCGAAGAAATTGTCGATGTTCAAATAGCTATAACTTTGTGCAAAAAAATCGAATAGCAATGAAACTAGGCTTATTTTAAGACCGGAAGTGTCTACTTTCGGACAGTATTAGTCAGTTTTGTCTAAAAAAATTGATTTATGATATGACGGATGGAAAACCGCGTTCTAGATTTTGCACAAAATCTCGACTTTTCAAAAAAATTGTCGATATTCGAACAGCTATAACTTTGTACAAAAAAATCTTAGAGCCATGGAACTAGGCTTATTTTAAAGCTGGAAGTGTCTACTTTCGGACGGTATTGGTCAGTTTCGTCTAAAAAAATTTATTTATGATATAACAGAGGGAAAACCGCGTTCTTGATTTTGCACAAAATCTCGAGTTTTCGAAAAAATTGTTGACATTCGAATAGCTGTAACTTCGTGCAAAAAGATCATACAACAATGGAACTAGGCTTATTTTAAAGCCCGAAGTGTCTACTTTCGGACGCCATCCTTCAATTTCTTTAAAAAAATTTATTTGCGACACGGTGGTCGGGAGACCCCGTTCCAGACTTCACGCGAAATTTCTAACCTTTGAAACATCGACGATATTTTTAATAATATTTTTAACGGTGTCTCCTCTTATCTCCTTAAACTTATAAACGCATCTCCCCTTCTCAGATTGTCTTCGTGCGCGATCTGTGCGCGAATTGCGGAAAAATTACCGTACACCGTAAATTCTCCCTAATCTTTCTTCAGCTTATAAACAAAAATGAACAACTTGGGAAAAGAAGATACGATTATTCGAGCCTTGCACCTCGTTGTTACAATTGCCGATACCTCTAAACTATAAAAACGAATCCCGTGGCCCGAATAATCGTGTCTCCTTTCCCGGAATTGCCCATTTTCGTTCGCAAACCGAAGGAAAATTCGGGAGAATTTACGGCGCTCGGTTCGTTCAACTGTTTCATTTCATCTGTAGATACGAAGAATGCAGGACATCCTCGCGCAAATGCAAGAGAAGCTGAAGGCGAACGGTCAAGTCGGACCCGGCATCGGTCTCAGAGGACGAGTGGGCAGCCTGGGTAACGACCTGGACGCCACCGAAGTCGAGAAGAAACGCAACAGTATTATAGACGTTTGAACTCGTCCGAGCGCTATAAATGTTCTAGATCGTGTCTCGGGACCGTGGAGTCCGCGTGGAACGTTCGCACAAACGGCCCGAGTGTTGCGTCGGGCCCTCGCCGGACGAATACGCACAAGATCGGTGGGCCGCGCGTTGTTCCGTAAAGAGGATCCGAGAGGTTTGCGCGCGCCTCGCGACGACGCGTGGGGCCGCACGGTAATGCTTCGAAAATTGTCCGGTCACCGAAGACCACCTGGACGACCTCACTGTTCTATCTCTTTCTCTCTATCTATCTCTCGTCGGCGTACAAATCATTGTATATTTTATTGCTGGACGATTTTAGAATTCGTTAGAGTACGGTCATTTCTTCCGGGAATGCTCGAAGTCGGAATTGAAATCGGCAGATCCGAGAAGGCAGTCGACGAAGAAAGGCAGCGGTCAGCATCGCTGGTGTACATTAGTACGAACACATAGTAATGCTAGAATAAATTAATGATTTTTAATTCTTCTAATTTCGAATTTTTAGCCACGATTCGAAGGCAATTCGGAGGGCACGTGACACGATTCGGAGGCAATTCGGAGAACACGCGACGGGATTCGACGGGTCACGTATCTGGTACAGTAAATTCTCCCGAATTGGTGCAACGCTCCTATCGCCTAAAGTAGAGATTCCAGGCTTTAAAATGAGTTTAGTTTCGTTGCTCTACGACTTTTATTCACGAAGTTACAGTATTTGGAATATCGTCGATGTTTTCGAAGGTTAGAAATTTCGTGTGAAGTCTGGAACGGGGTTTCCCATCCACCGTGTCGCAAATAAATTTTTTTAAAGAAATCGACGAACGCTTTCCGAAAGTAGATACTTTCAGCTTTAAAATAAGCCTAGTTGCATTGCTCTACGATTTTTTTACACAAAGTTATAGCTGTTCGAATATCAACAATTTTTCGAGATTTTATGTAAAATCTAGAACGAGGTTTCCCATCCGTCATATCATAAATCAATTTTTTTAGAAGAAACTGTCCAATATCATCCGAAAGTAGACACTTCAGGCTTTAAAATAAGCCTAGTGTCATTGCTATACGATTTTTTTGCTCAAAGTTATAGCAGTTCGAATATCATCAATATCCATTTTTGTTTATAAACTAAAGGAAAATTAAGAATAATTTATTGCACCCGCCACGTTCCTTGTAGCTCCGCGGTTTTTCACACCCAAATCCGCTTATTTTGCGTTGCCTTCGCGTGCGCATCGTACATAAATTACATAGGCGTAGGAGTAGCGCAGGGAAATTCACGGCAACCCGAAATTCGGCATTTCCGGGAGAAATTGCTGTACATCGTTGTTGGAATTACATAGAAATCTGGTGTTTATTTATTGCGTACGACGTCGACGATGCCGGGTAACACTGATCTCTGGATTCCATGAAATTTTGTACGAACGTGGGCAAAACGGTCAAATAATTTGTACGCGCGCGCGTCGATCGGTACATTGTAATATATTAATTTATAGATTTTTGAGGCATTACGACAGGCACGGGAACGATTCTGCGGAGCAAATTCGGCCGGAAATTCGACGTCGACGACGACGGAACACGCCCGTTCGTCTCGTTCGTTTGTCTACGCGCAGCGCTCCGAGGGGGCGTGGCTTCGCCGCTCCGCGGGGGCGTAGTTTCGCTGCTCCTACACGCCCATGCCTGCACTAGTACAGTATTATTAACTCGACCGTACGCGGCGTTTCCACTTTTATATGCATGAGAACGTGTCCTTAGTATTGAACAATATTTGATATCGCTACCACGCACTCACACACGAACGACGTATTGTACATACAACGAATGCGAGGAGGGAAAACGACGGCGGGAATAAAGAAGCACCGCTGGAGAAGAATATTGTGACTTCTTCTTCTACTTTTCTTTTCCTTTTCCACGAATTACAATTTCGTTCGTAACGCCGTTCTGGTCGTTCCGGTCCCTCCCCCCTCCCTCCGCCGGTTATCTGGAAAACGTTTGAGAAACATTTCACCGGTAAATCGTAGTTTCGGCTCGGTGCGAAGAGCACCGGCAAGCGGTTCGACGATTAAGAAACTGCAATAAATGATTGCCGCGGTATAGCCCGGACTACTGACAATGCGGTTTTATTATTAACTATAATTATAGGTATAGGCTCGTATTAAAGTTCCCCCCTGAAATCACAGTGATTCCGTCTTCATTTCGTCGCGCCCGCGGCCGGCGACCCGGTATAAAATCCACCGGGATCCGAACTTTGTGCGATTTTCTTTCGGTGAAGTCTCGCAGGATCGTGCCGACTAATGATTCCAAAGGTTCGTACGTCGTTCCATTGTTATCCGCCGCGTCCGCGCGCATTTTTCTAATCAGTCCGATCGACATTTTATACGAATTTAACGACGGCAAACGATTAGCAATTGTAAAAACGAGGCGCAGGATTCTCGAATAATTTTATCTCCTCTTCCCAAATTGTCCGTTTCCGTGTGCAATAAATTCTCCCGAATTTTGCTTCAGCTTGCAAAGAAAAATGGACAATTCGAGAAGAGGAGATACGATTATTCGAGCCCTGCGCCTCGTTTTTTATAACTGTTGACAATCGGGAATTAAAAAGAGGAGCCGCGAGGCTCGAACAATCGCGTCTCCTCTTCCCGAATTTTGTTTACAAGCCGAAGGAAAATTCGGAGGTGAATTTACGGTAATTGTCGTTCTGCTTAAAAGTGCTAAAAAGTTGCTTAAAAATGTTCGCGACGATAATTTATTGTGAAAGCGGCGGCGAGCCGATTTTATTTGCGAAATCAAGTTATAAAGGTATAAAGATTTTCAGTGAACGATCAGTTTCGCCGGCGGATCGAATTAAGAGAGGGAATAATAATTTGTAATAAATCAGGGGAATACGAATCGGTTGTTCGGTGTTTCTTTCGCGGTGATGTAAAACGTAATGTTAAGCGTAAATTAAAGCCGCTGAGGGCTTTATTAGTTGCCGGCACAGCCTGAAGTTAAATTGGAAAAGGCAGCCCCCCGGTGATTAGCTGTGTCGTTCTTATTACAGGCACTCCTGTTAACGATGATGTTGGCAGGAATTTTGAGCGAACCTCAAGGACCTGCCTACCTTCCTCCGCAAGGCACCCGAACACCCACTGGCGGCGGTGGCGGCGGCGGCGGCGGCGGTAACGTTGGTCATCCAGACGAGTGGGCCGGAGTGAGTATTGTTTTCCATCCAGTAGACCGATTACGGGCTATTTACCGATCCCAAATATCTGCTAATTATATCTGCTAATAATATATAATATATACAATATAATATATTATATATATTCAATATATTCAATATATATTGCAATTCAATGTTTTAATTAAACTATACAAGTGTATAATATTAAAAAATATTTTCATTAATTTTACAATGGAAATGATATGTTCCTGAGGACATTTGAAGCAACTTTTTCCTCAGCGAAAATTCAATCCGCGGCTTCGTTCACGAGTTATTAGCGAAAAACAGCGACCAATGAGAGACGAGCTCGCCCAGCGCTAGGCGGCCGAGCCAATGAGGCGAGCCTGTGCCTCGCGGGCCTCGTTGGCTGCGCCGCCTCGCGCCAGTCGAGCTCGCATCTCATTGGCCATTGGTCTTTCCTTAATAACTCGTGAACGAAGCCGCGGATTGAATTTTCGCTAAGGAAAAAGTTGCTCCAAATGTCCTGAGGAACCCAACATTTCCGGTTGGTTCAGTTTCGATGCAACGCTCGGTTCCTGGAATGAAATATTCGCGCTTGCTTACAGGACCCAGCAAACTACGAATTCTCGTACGAAGTCCAAGACGGGGTGGCTGGTTTGGACTTCGGCCATCACGAGTCGCGCAAAGACAGCGAGGCGTCAGGGACGTACCACGTGCTGCTGCCGGACGGCAGGACCCAGATCGTCGATTACGTCGCCGACGATGCCGGATATCGTCCCATGGTGCGGTACGAGGGCACCGCCACCTTCCCCGCCCCAGCACCCTCCCCCGGGGGATCCGCCAACGAAGGATACAGATACTAATCGCTTCACGGTGTATATAAATAAAAAATTCAAAGACTAACTCGAACTCCGCGTAACCCTGAACGATTGATTTTCCATCGAGACGCGCTCTGCTCCTGATGTAACATTAATTTTCCATTAAGACGCGCTGCTCCTGATGTAACATTAATTTTCCATTAAGACGCGCTGCTCCTGATGTAACATTAATTTTCCATTAAGACGCGCTGCTCCTGATGTAACATTAATTTTCCATTAAGACGCGCTGCTCCTGATGTAACATTAATTTGTTTAATAATGTAAACTAAGACGCTGCTCCTGACGTGTAACGTTCATCATCGATTCGGATGAGCGTCGTGTTTAATGACTTAATTTTTGATGTTGACTCGACAGTTTACACAAACTTGTATTTGTTCGATCTCGATGATATACGAAGAGTTTGTAAAACATTCGCAGTAGAAATTGCACTATTCTTTTTTCTATGGTTATTTCACGCGGTCTTGCTCTTCCCGATGAAACGCAAAAGTTCCTCCACGTCCTCTTTCGAGCCCAGGAAACAAGGCGATCGTTGGTGAATTTTCTCCGGCACAATGTCCAGAATGTCGATCTCCCCGTTCGACGACATGCCGCCCGCTTCCCTTATTATGTACGCTAAGGGGGCGCACTCGTACAACAGTCGGAGCTACGATGAACAACGTTATAGAGTCATTAATACAGTAGAACGTATAATAATATCAATATGGTGATATCAAAATATAAATAAATAATATATAGTATAAAATATAATACATAATGCATATGTAAGTAAGTAAAAATATAAAATATGTAATAATCGATGGCTAGAACGTATAATAATATAAATATGGTGATATCAAAATATAAATAAGTAATATATAGTATAAAATATAATACATAGCATATATGTAAGTAAGTAAAAATATAAAATATATAATAATCGATGGCTAGAGGCAACTGATAAGTTATTAAGCATACCTTGCCGGATGGATTAGTTTTGGTCGCCGGATACATGAATATTCCGCCATACTTAATAGTCCTGTGAACGTCGGCCACCATGGAGCCCACGTATCTCAAGCTATAGGGTTTTCCAGTAGCTGGATACTTTTTCGAGTGAACGTACTCTTTGATGGGTGCCTCCAATTGGCTCTCGAGGCCCTCGTTTATGCTTTAAAAAATTCCATAAATAATGTATCTATTTGAAACCACGCTGGGTAAATTAATTGTACCGATTTAATAAATATAGCATGTCCGAAAAATGTGTCGGAAATGGTGGGTTCCTGAGGTAATTTCAAGTGACCTTTTCCTTAGCGAAAATGCAATCCGCGGCTTCGTTTACGAGTTATTTACGAAAAACGGTGACCAATGGGAGGCGAGATCCAGCTGGCGCGAGGCGGCCGAGCCAATCAGCGGAACGGGGCTTCGTGCGCGCGTTGGCTTAGGCCGCCTCGCGCCAGTCGAGCTCGCCTCTCATTGGTCGCCGTTTTTCGCTAATAACTCGTAAACGAAGCCGCGGATCGCATTTTCGCTAAGGAAAAAGTTGCTTCGAATGACCTCAGGAACCTCTTATTACTAGATTCCGAGATGTTTTTAGCACACCCTGTAGAATTACCTGTATATTTCTCCTTTAGGGGGAACCCTCATGTTCCTGTCGGTTAAAATAAATTCGCCAATCGCAGGATCATAAGTGAACCCGTTCACCCCGCGGCCAATCGACAGCACGATCATGGTCGCGGAACCGTATACCGCGTATCCAGCAGCGATTAAATTTCTACCTGGTTGCAGAGCGTTCGCCACCAATGGCGATTTCGTCGGCTCTGGTTTCTTGTAGATTCCGAAAATCGATCCGACCGTCACCAGACAATCGATGTTCGACGATCCGTCCAACGGATCGAAGCAAATTATGTATTTCCCCTGTTTCTCGATCTCCACCTCGATCGCGTTCGGGTTCTCCTCGCTCACGAGGACGCAGCTCGTGAACGAAGACGTTAACATGTTTATGAACAGGTCGTTGCTAAACATGTCCAGCTTTCTCACCTGCTCCCCTTGGACGTTCGTGGACCCAGCTATGCCGTACCTGAGTCAACAATCACAAAATCACCCTTTTCGTACATTTTTGTACACCAATGTTTATCCGTGAAAGTTTTCTGAGACGAAATGTTCGTGAGAAGAAGATTGCGGTATTGTTACAGCTTCTCGCGCGCTGTGTCTACGAACAATTTTTTCAACAGGGATGAATTATACACGAAAAAAGTAGAGATTTCAGGCTTTAAAATGAGTTTGGGTTCGTTGCTCTACGATTTTTATTCACGAAGTTACAGTATTTTGAATATCGTCGATGTTTCGAGAGTTAGAAATTTTGTCTAAAGTCTGGGGCGAGGTTTTCTATCCACCGTATCGCGAATAAATTTTTTTAAAGAAATCGACGAACGATCTTCGAAAGTAGATAGTTCCAGCTTTAAAATAAGCCTAATTGCATTGCTCTACGATTTTTTTACACAAAGTTATAGCTGTTCGAATATCAACAATTTTTCGAAAATTCGAGATTTTGTGTAAAATCTAGAACGAAGTTTCCCATCCGTCATATCATAAATCAATTTTTTCAGAAGAAACTGACCAATACCTTTCGAAAGTAGACATTTCGGGCTTTAGAATGAGCCTAGTTCCATGACTCTACGATTTTTTTTCACAAAGTTATAGCTGTTCGATTATCGACAATTTTTTCGAAAATTTGAAGCTTCGACAAAAGTGGTAGACGGCTCGTTTTTATAGTAAACAATCGTCAACGACTATAAAAACGAGACGCAAGGTTCGAATAATAGTGTCTCCTGTTCCCAAACTGTCCACTTTTGTGCGCAAACCGAGCGCGAATTAGGGAGAAATTACTGTGTTTGCTGAATATTCGCTTAACAATTCGCTGAACAACAGCGACGATAGGATAACAATATATCTGCCACACCGAAAGATAGTCGCTTGATCGGACTGTATCGTTGAAATATCCAATCGGTATTCACGTTATTTACATTCGGCAACGCTGTAATATTTGTTTTTCGAATATGTCGCTATAGAACGCGGACTTTGTACGCTAATTTAAAGCGCTGTATTCGTTCGTTTTACACGTATAATACTTTTACTGTACAGCGTTTATTAAGTAATTGTTGGTATTTATGTCACCCTATTTTAATCATTATTCCTACGGTTACGTAGTTAATTTAAAATTGTTAAACATTCGTTTAAAAAAAGATTTATATATATTATATATTTTTAAGTATTCACGACGAAAAGCGTAAGTTCGCTTAGCATATTATAAATGATCATCTTAAAATCAGGTTCTTAAGTAATCATTTAAAAATCAGGTTCTTAAATGATCATTTTAAAAACAAGTTTTTAAGTACACATTTTGAAATTACACTTTTTAAACGTTCGTTGTAAAATGATAGTTTCAAGTGTCTACGTCGAGGGCAAATTTTTTAATTATTAATTCAGGTACGTTGATTATCTACTCACATATTGGCGATACCGGCTTTCCTGACCGCGGAGCTGATCGCCCTCACAGTCGTCTGTATGCTATTCAAGAGCTGACTTAGGTCACCGGTGGCGGACGGTATTTTCTTTTGTTCGGCCAGGACAAATCTGGTCAAGGTCATGCAATCAGAATCTAACGCCGGTCCTGGGCCCTTCGAAGCCATTTTTCGGGAACGTGTATCTCTGTGTTTGCGTTGCTCGGCTCGGCGCGATGCCAGTGACGAAACTAATGCGAATATGTACCGTTGGGCCGCTGTTATATAAACTCGCCGGACTTCTTAATACTTCTTATCTGCATAGTTGATGTTTATACTCGAAAGAGAAAAAGTATCGCCGCGATTTACACAGCCGCCGGTCTATGGGAATAAAAATATCGGTGCTCATTGCGTTATCAATTAAGGTCAAACAGGCTCTTGAATCATTTTTTTGGACAGATTGTACCGTATCGACGAAGATAGCAATGTGTGTGACACAACACAAAAACCAGCCGGATTTAGAAGTCTCAATATTTTCATAGACTTATTTATAAAATAGCTAGGGTTATCAAGATAATGCAGGTTAAGCATATGATCGCTAAAAATGCTCGACTGTTGTTCTTCGGCGGCCTTAATTTTCTGTAGAATTAATTGAAAAAAAAGAAAAATCGAATCTTTCGCTTTGAGACCTTTTTTACGATTCAGGGGTGATTATGGTATTATTTTTATAGCCTTATAAACATTTAGACTATCGTAATGCTTTTGTTCGATGGCTACTGGACCGAGCATGGCCTACAATTGTTTATTTAATAATAAGAAAAGCACCGTGCAAGGTCGCCTGCAGACATTAATTATGGCAAAATTAGGGCATAAAAGACTAAACAAAGAGCACAGAACTGTTCGGGAGAATCTGCTGCATCGATATCGTGCAAGAAACCTAAACGACAACAACGTATAATATAATTAATTAACATAATAGTTAACCAAACTTTGAAGAGCAATTATTTACTTTTCCTAATACTATCATTTGTTTTTTTATACGAAATCGATGCAGTAGATTCTCCTGAACACATCGATACCCTTTTTTCCATTTTTTATGCATTAATATTGCCGTAATTAATGTTTTTTACTCGACCATGCGTTGTCCATATACGAGCGACGGTGTCGCCTCTGTCGGGAGAACAACGAAGCTCCGAACGATGTCCGTACAGCGCCAATTCGTGCAGTGGCAAAACGCTCAAACTGTTCGCCGAATTCGATTGCTGGTAAATTTCTAGTTGTTTCAGCTTCCCGCCGCAAGATGGAGCACCTAAAACTTCCACTTACCATCCAGCATTGTAAACTGAAATTGAATCGTCGTATAGTTTGAGCGTTTCTCCGCTGCGTGGCGCTACTTCGAACATTCGCGGAGCAATAAATTCGTGCCGGAATTTCCGTTGTTTTTCACGTGTGCAGCGGCACGAATCATTCGCAGCGGTTAATTTATGACAGCTAGTTATAGTCTGCCGAGCGACTGGGAACAAGATTCTTGGAAAATAAGGACAAGGTGATGGTCAAGTGAATCATTGCTCGGTTTCTCGGAGAATGCGACGTTTCGAATATTTCGTTCGCCGCGATAATGAGGCGTAACATGTGTGTACTCGGATATCGGTTTATCTCACGGTAGAGCGCTACCGGAACGGTAATTACACGCTACTCGCAAGAACACTTCCGGTCTGCGGTTTGAACGTCGAGATAAAACGAATCGATAAAAAGCATCTGTTGAAATCTCTTCTATAACCGCGAGCACTGAAATATTTCTTGTCCTTCGTACGAATATATTTTATCCTACGAACGACGGATATCGATTTCTTGAGTCATTAGACGTTTCTGGGTGTTGTCGAACGCGCCGATGACAAATTACGATCGAATGCTGATGAGTCAATCGTTCTGCCGGGACGAATGAATGTATAATTATGACGAGTGCATACGCGTGGAACGTTACGTCATACACGTGACACGACAAACAATTCCTACAGAATCCGATGCGTTCGAGAAACAGAAATCAGATCGTCTTCGTCTTCCGGAATTTATTTCTCCTCGACCATGCAAGTTGTGCGAACGATTTTCGCGCAGAAAAATTCTCCGAACTGTAATGCACACGAGGATACGTAATTTTGTAACCGTGTGAACATTTAAACGAGCGCAAATAATTTTTAACCCCTTAATGCACGGTTTTTTTTTAAAAGGCCGACCAAAAGAAATCAATTTTTTTTAATAGAAAAAAACACAATTTAGAACGTTGTCTTGGCAAGAAAATTACAAAAATAATCCAAATTTTTATTGCAATTTTGGATTTTACTATTATTATTATTATTATTATTATTATTATTATTATTATTATTATTGTTATTATTATTATTATTACTATTGTTATTATTATTATATTTTATTTTACATTATATTTTAGTAAAGTATATATTGAAAAATGAGCGAATCAGAATCTGAATATGAACACGCTGTCGAAAAGCGGCTCACAAGAAAGAGATAAGTCGTAAGCGCGATAAGTAGAAAAAGGATATATTTTATACTTGAATAAGTAAGTGTTATAGCTTATACAATCCCCTGTAAACGATAAATATCAATAAACCGATTGTTTTTTTCTTTTGCTTTCACATTGTTATTTTCAATTCTCGATTGCATTCGAGCGTGAAAAATTCTAGCAACATAAAGTACAACGCCGCTCGAATTATCTCGAGTGCGCACAGTTTGGCCAGTTTAGCGCGCTCGAGTTAACTCGAGCGTGCACGTTGAGGGGTTAAAGCGGATCTCGATTCACCGGTGTCTCTATTATTTTTGTATTATTTATGCCGCGGTCGTTAGATTCGAACAGGAGGCTGGAAATAGATGCGGTAAATTCTCTCGCAAATTGTCCCCCGGCTTTTAAACAAAAGTGGCCGATTCGGGAAGAGGGAAGAGGCGACTGTTCGAGCCGTTTCGCGGCTCGTTGTTAACAATCGGAAATTTTCGTTCGCCGGGAGACAATTTTATAGAATTTACCGTGTTACTCGTTAACCGGGAGATCTGTGACGCAGAGTCAATTTGTAGCTGCAACGCGATCATTCGTCGTCATCCTCGTCGGGCGTCTCTTCATCGACGCCCCCCTCCTCCCCCCGGCGCTACCGACGCCACCAATTCCGCCGTCTCGTCTTTATATACTGCCGCTACGTTCCGGTGCACAGTCTGTGCGCATACACGTAACAATATTGAACTGCGACGAATTTGGTGACAGTTCGTTTGACGATCCAGTGGCGGCGACTTAGAATATTTGCCGGGCGTGCCTCTCGAGAGTCCTCTCCAGTGTTCGACGAGGTAAAGTGACAGTTCCGCATGTTCGTTGTCGTTCGAATATTTCGGACCCGCATCCCCGACGATCGACGACGACGACGAATTCGAGCTATTTAACGAGAAATTACGAAATATAAACGATTAATTCGACGAGGAATAATTTGTGCTCGATCGCGTTCGTAAATTCAACACGATTCGCTGTTATGTCAGCCTCCTTTGTCGAGCGCGATACGAATTCCTATCGGATTACGTTACTGACCTCGCCGATGGAACGTGTCGCAACACATCTAAATACCAACAATAATTCCAATATCGTCGATCATGCCGCTTCTGCATCGGAAACGTGACTCACTCGCGTCGATCGCGCTCCAAAGAACACCAGCCGAAGTCATAATAGCTGTCCTCTAGCTCCTATAGTCCGCAACGTATCCACCGGACAGCTATTAAGACTCCGTGGTCTTTCTCGACGAACGAGAAAAATTTCGCTGAACGCGCGATCGAAATGAAACGTAGATAACTCTGTCGGGTCTAAAGCGACCCGAGTTCGACTATCCAAGAGCCGTAGGCTTTGTACTAGACCGAGCATTGCGTTTTCTGCGCCGCGAGACCCGGAGTTCATCGATAGTCATAACAGCTGTCCAGCCTGCGCCACGCATGCGGCATTCGGGGCATGGCAACGGGCTGGACATCTATTTTGACTATCGACGCTGCCGAGCACAGTCTCTCCTTCGAGATAGCGGCACGAGCGTCGAATAAAAAGCGGTGTACTAGAACGAAACGGGGATTAGGCGCGTTGTCGAGCATCCGTGCCATTCTGTGTACGTTCCTACCATCTCCCACCACATTTTCGCCATCCTGCTGGCAGATTCTGCAGCCGCTCGCCGGCCTCGCCGCGCCGGTTCGCCGTTCAGTCGACTACGAGGATCGTGCGGAACCGGTACCGGCGCATCACTGGGAACCAGTTAACCCGTTACACCGTCGCAAGAAGCTCTGCCACACCCTGGTCAGTCTTATTGTTCGCCGATCGATAACAACTTTCGGCCACCGTCCGTTTCTTGGCCGGTTTTCCGGCCGGGTTTTTCTCTCTCTCTCGACATTCCGCGACCGGTGAGCTCATCGTTTAACGAGTTCCTGATGACGCGGGCGCTATTTTCACGGCTGCGGGGCCTACGACGCTTCCGAGAAGTAGTCCATTAAACGGTACAGTTTCGTTCGGGAAGGTTGGGGACCCCGGAACTTTGTCCGACGAAAAGTGGGGGATCGTCGTACGTGAATCCTGCGAAACGAGTTGTTCCGATTTTGTCGATCTTTCCGATTTCAAATTTGTCGGATTTATATCTTATTGTCGTTTGGAACGGTGTCAATATAAATATTTATAGATATTTATAGATATTTATTTTTTTATAGAGGAGTAAGAGATTGCTGGTGATAAATATAATTGTTGCTAGGGTCAATGATCGTTCTAGAATTGAATAATAATTTTCCAAGTCGAAGGAAACCGGTCAAAATGATTATTTATATTTTTATAAACTAGTAAGAGATTTCTGATAATAAATATAATTGTTGCCAGGGTCAATGATCATTCAAAAATCGAATAATAATTTTCCAATTCAAAGGAAACCGGTCAAAATGATTATTTATATTTTTATAAATAAGTAAGAGATTTCTGACAATAAATACAATTGTTGCCAGAGTCCATAATCGTTCTAGAATCGAATAATAATTTTCCAAGTCGAAGGAAACCGGTCAAAATGATTATTTATATTTTTATAAACTAGTAAGAGATTTCTGATAATAAATATAATTGTTGCCAGGGTCAATGATCGTTCTAGAATCGAATAATAATTTTCCAAGTTTCTCATATCGTTTCTAGGAAATTTGCTGAAATTATAAATACTCTTTCTTCGAAAACAAAGCACGCGGGCGTATAGGTTTAGTATCAAGTATCTCGTCGAACTTATCGATTTCATTGATTTTAGAATCTTGTTCTTGGCTAGGCACTTAAGGTGTCCAGTCGTGATTGACGGCCCCCGTTTCTAGGTCAATCGAACGTCTTCCTTCGTTTACACGCCACGTACTTTCTATTCCGGCGGCATTTATTTATCAAATGGCTTCCGAATAATGCAGAATACACAGTTCTTATCGTGCAAGCACTGTCGAATGGTTCACGGCGTAATCATTTTTATCTATGAAGTCATAAAACTCGAGAGCCGTGCATAAATTTGTATCGCCGCGTCACTCTTATGTATTCGTCGGACAGAATGCTCGATGCGTGAAGGAGATTACGACTATCGTGCACAGGCACAAAAAGCAAATTACACTCGCGATTTTAATTGCAAAATA